GGAAGCTCAGAACTGGTGACGTTGTAGTACAACTGTAGTACGCGGAGCAATCTGTGGAGCTGGAAGCTGAGAACTGGCGACCGCGCGTAGTACAACTTTAGTGCGCGGAGTAGCTGTGGAGCTGGAAGATGAGAAGTGGGTAGTAGCTGCGAATTGGCGACGGTGTAGTAACTGTAGTGCGCGGAGGTGCTGGGGAGCTGGAAGATGAGAACTGGCGACTTGGAAGTGCCACTAACACGTGCCCTTGATAACAGGCAGTGGAAGCCAGCTTGCTGGCTGCCATTGTCCAGATGGAAAGCCAGCACGCTGGCTGCCATCATAGTTGAAGTGGGTAAAGTGGGTATGAGCCAGCACGCTGGCTACCATCATAGTTGAAGTGGGTAAGCCAGCACGCTGGCTGCCATTGTTGAGATGGCAAAGCCAGCACGCTGGCGACCATCATAGTTGAAGTGGGTAAGCCAGCACGCTGGCTGCCATTGTTGAGATGGCAAAGCCAGCACGCTGGCTGCCATCATACTTGAAGTGGGTAAGCCAGCACGCTGGCTGCCATTGTCCCCTTACCAGCAGCCCAAATGCTCACGACGATGAGCTGGGCTGTCACCGCTTGGCCGCCGGTGGGGGGGTTGGGAGGCCTTGGCATTGTGGACGACCACTTCTTCAGCGTCAACCAGGATGACCAGAGGCAGATGATTCACACGTTATTGTTCAGTCTGCAGTGCGGCATGTGGTGATGCAATTGTTGAGATGGCAAAGCCAGCACGCTGGCTAGCATCATAGTTGAAGTGGGTAAGCCAGCACGCTGGCTGCCATTGTCCAGATGGCAAAGCCAGCACGCTGGCTGCCATCATAGTTGCAGTGGGTATGAGCCAGCACGCTGGCTACCATCCTAATTGAAGTGGGTAAGCCAGCACGCTGGCTGCCATCATAGTTGAAGTGGGTAAGCCAGCACGCTGGCTGCCATTGTCCCCTTACCAGCAGCCCAAATGCTCACGACGATGAGCTGGGCTGTCACCGCTTGGCCGCCGGTGGGGGGTTTGGGAGGCCGCATCGCACACAAACACCCACACACTCCCTCAACTTCCACGAACACACACATACGCAGACTCGTTTCCACACGGACATAGACACACGCACAGAAACCCACACACTACCTCAACTCACTCGACTTAACACTTCTCACTACACACTTACCGCATAACTCGCACTCTGATTTCCTACGTGATGAAAAATGCTTTCGGGCCACTCGTCGTCTAGTTGAGAAGATGTTTGGAGTGACCTTAGAACTTAGAACATCTTAGAACTGCCAAAGGCGGTGATGTTCTAAGCAGCTCTGTAGCTGCCATTCGGTAGCCACAAGGGCCGCAGGTGGATGCTGCATCAGCAGCTGTGCTTGGAGCACCTGGCATCCACCATCTCATCCAGCTTCAGGCGACTGCGGCCCACTTCCGGCGACTCTGTGGAGACATGGATGCTGGGGTGGGGATTTGACTTTCCACACATGTTGAGTCCAAAATTTCAACTCGATGCAGCAATCAAGTACATATAGAGAGTTATTTTGACTACATGTTTAACCCAAACACGGGTTTGCCTCCTTCATTTGGATTCAATATGTGTCACCACCAGAAATTCCAACGGACTGGTGTTCATTTTGTAAGTGAGTGGATGATCTGGACACCTAGCCTCCTTCCTCTCCTGGTCTGTTGAGCCTCTACACTCCCACTATCAAACAGTGGACCAGGACCAGATCGATGTTCGCTTCGCCCGCTGAGATGCCTTCCATCCGCGGTCGATGGTCGCCCTCCCTCGCCCTCCGATCGAGCGCGCCTGCTGCCAACGCTCCTCGATCGTCCTGCAGACCAAGAGCTGACCGAGTTCCTCATCCGCTGTCCTCAAAAAGGGCGCACACCGTGGTGGGGAGACGATGCAGGGGCATAGTTGGCACGTGGCACACCGGTGCAGGTGCGCCTCTCACCAGTTAGCCAGAATGGCCAGGTTCAGAACTTTTGGACTGGTGACCTGACCCATCAGGGAAGGAAACTCCATGCCCATTCCCTAAAATGAAACCTGCACCAAAAACGAAACCTTCCAGATCTTCCAGAAGAGGCACAACATCAAGCTTTAAAAACATAACACGGAACCTGCCACCCAAAATCCAATCGTTTTGGTAAGGCCAAAGCGTCAACATCCATCCGCCACCCTCTTCAGGCGCCACCCGCACCCAGCCACCATAGCCCTGCGCCACTGCCTTGACGCGCTCCCCGCACTTGCGCGTGCCCTGCGGCGCTTGGGTGAGATGTGCAGGATGAGAACTGGTGGGTTGGGCACCATTTTGGCAGATTGGGGAGCCAATGATCATGCTATAGAATGCTGTAAATAAAATTTAGACCATAAAAGCACCTCATGAAGTTTGAAGCTACAGTGACTCTAAATAACAAAACAAAACGCCTGCGAAGTAGACACCCAACGATGAATCCTCCCCCTTCAAAACGCCACCAGGTCGTCGGGCAAGAATGCCACTTCCAAAGCCAAAAACCTCTCCACCTCAAATGAGGAGAAAAAAAAGACGGATCTCCCTGCCAGGAGTCACAAAGGGGTGCCGAACTTGGAGGTTAGGAGTGCCCAGAACATCCACTCACTGGATGGGACCAAACACCACCCCGACATGTGACCCCTGGTGTGATGGACTCTCCATGCGATGTCACTCCGGTGTCATCCACATCCTCGGGCCTGGATGGGACGTGACTTGGACGGGCCGGTGCGCACGGCCACGAAGGGGCTATAGACCACCTGGAGCACGACGCCGTGGTGAGAACGAGCGGATGTGGGGCAGAACGAGCGGCTGTAAGGGTGGTGCGAAAGACACACGGAAGATCACGGAAGTCAAATCGATTAGAAACACAAATCAAGCAAGCTTCCAGTCCAAAACTCCATGAAATGTGACTCTCAAAAACGTCTGGTACTTACGAGGCGACGCCTGTGCTGGAGGCCGCCTGTGCTGGTGCCTCCCGTCGAACACGTCGTTTGCCGTGCCTCGAAGTGCAGTGGCTCGTTGGTGCCCTGGGGCTCTGAAAGGACCACCGGCAGCGCCTTGCCCACCATGGACAAGACCTTCCCGATGCCTTGCCTGGCGGGTGGTGACTGGGTTCACTTCCGGTGATGGTCCAAGTGCGTCGTGAGACCGTGAGGAACCGTGGTCGTTTTCGAACGGTGCAGGGTGACATGTGATTGGCCCGCTGAGGTGACTTGTTTGATGTCAGGACATGTGATATCTGCATATTTGATCATATTTGATGTCACGTGCGCCTCTCCTACTGATCTTGACCAAAAAAAATACAAAAAGGACACGTGGCCGAACCTGTTGTGAGGCATGGTCCGAGACATGAGTCAACTCCGAATTGGGCCAAGATCGGTCGTGTGTCTGCGTTCAGGGAAGGTGAACATGCCTATGCTTGAAAAGGGCGCATGAATGAAGACCGTGAGCCATTGGCCAGCTCAGTGGGTTGTACATCCCAACGCTCCCATCGAAAACAAGAGGTGGTAGAGGTAGCAGTAGGCCCAGTAGGCGTGAAATTGGAACATTTGACGCTGTCATCTTGGGGGGTCTGGAGAGGATGGGAACCCTACCTATCTCAATGAGAAGTGGAATCTGGCCAAGCAAAGGTAGCTTTGAAAGGCAGTCTTGGTGCGGGGTGGGCGCCTTCGGCCCACCAGTCGTTCAAAAGCAAAAGGTCTGCTGAAGCTTCGGGCCAAAGGACAAGCCGCCCATGTCTTTCACCACATAGCCTGGCTGCCCATGCGGCTTCACCTCACCGGCGCGTGGATGCGCGTGTGCCATCTCTCTCGTTGCCGCGTTGCCGGATATCTTTCCAACCCCCATCGTGAAGCGAGGAAAGAGTACCGAGCTACAGGGACCATTTAGAGTACTCCGCGTTACATCTGCGAAGAGTATCCGTTATCCGGGAATCCACTTGTCCTGGGCAGGAGCAAGCCTCGCCCCCCAAGAAAACACAGAAAATACGGTCAGTTCGGGGACCCTTCTGCTGTGGCCACCACAGAAAGAGCTCCGCGACTTGAGGGCTTTTTGTGGCTCCATGAGGGTTCCAGGTCGTCTTTCATCAACCACATGGTTGGATGCGTTCAGCTCGGTCACCCGGTCAGTAGCATATGTTCACGTCAGAAATTGCAAGAACTAAACCACTGAGCGTGGTACATGTGATGCCTTACTTGTTCCTACCAAAGCCAACGCGGCAACTCACGCAGCACCCCAACTGCCCCCCGAAACCTCAAAGGCCATGGCACCCAGCCATCCCAGGTCTCCTCGGAGGCCAAGAAGGTCTCCCCCTTGGGTCTTTTGCCCAAGATGGGCGCATGCAACGAGGGCTCCTGGCGCAAGTACACGAAGTCGTGGATCACCTGCCGCAAGCCGGTCGCCGTGGACGTCACGCGAGGAGTCCTTCGAGTTGGACCCCACATGTTCGGCCCCACCCGCCAGGTCACAAATGCTCGAAACCCGATGCTCGACCCGGTGTTCTGCCACGCTTCCGGACCGCCGTGGCCGCTGGCCTTGTACTCCTGCATGGGCACCGGCGCGTTCGCGGCGCTGGCGCCACGGTCGGTGGGTCCGGCCGGCGCGGGCTTTGGCTTCAGCCGCTCCTGTTCCGCGCTGTGCACCTTCACCGCGTGCGATTTCAGCGCCTCGACCGGCGCGGGCAGCTGAGGGGTGGCTGGGGATTGGGATTTGAACCAAGGGCCTTGAGCTTGGAAGTTTCAGGGTGCTCCATCCACCTACTGATGTGGGTGATCTCTGGGGGACCAACTCTCACTTAAAGCTTACTCTTGAAGGGCTTCTGCATATATACATGAGAAGTTCTCTTTCGCCAGCAGTAGCGAAGGGGAGTTTCAAAAATAAAAATATCAAATAAGGAACAAAAAGAAAGTGGAAACAAATGACCAAAGGGAAAACAAATAGTGATCAACAAAAAGAACAAATTCGGGCGATGTTAATGTTGAAAACATAGAGGATCAAAAAAACAAGCAACTACAATAGTGGTGTAAGAAGAAACAACTTGAACAAGCAACAGCAGCAGCAGCATCAGCAGCAGCAGCAAAAGCAATACTACAAGCAGTGGTGGTAGTAGTCGTCGTGGCAGCGGCAGTAGTAGCCTGAGTCATAGTACATAATAGCAAGTGTAGCGTCATAGAAGTAGTAGCAGTAGCAGTAGCAGTAGCAGTAGCAGCAGCAGTGGTAGTCGTAGTAGTAGTCGTCGTCGTCGTCGACGTGGTGGTCGTAGTCGTGGTCGTGGCCGTAGTCGTATACGTAGTCGTGGTCGTCGTCGTCATCGTCGTGGTGGTGATGGTGGTAGTGCTAGGGGTGGTGAGTAAGTAAGTAAGTAAGTAAGTAAGTTGTTAGATGCAGAGCTCGTTGCGCTGGAGGGGGTTGGGGGAGGGCGCAGCGCCTGCTCTCCATGGCGTTCTGGCCGCGTCCAGTGTTAAAATCGGGTCCTGGCACTAAGCAGAGCAAACCTTACAGTTCATTGTAATGTTGTCTTATCTTCTCTTATATATCTTGTCTTGTCCTGTCCTGGTTTTCCTTCCTTCCTTCCTTCCCGCCTGCCTTCCTGCCTTCCTGCCTTCCTTCCCTATCTTTCTGGTTTTGCTTATTGATCTCTATAGTCTATAGTGTGCTTTTTTTGGTTGATCCCAAATTGTTTTTTTGGGGATCCCTCTCCCAAATGTAGGGCGTGCCGCTGCCTACACTGAGTATTGGGAACCGTCCTGCTGAGCTGGTTTGATGAGGTCCCACTCAAAACCATCACGAAGTACCCCATGGATGGAACTGAAGACCATCACAATGGCCACCCCGCCCTCACATCCTGCCCACACAAAAAGACTTCAAAGGCCTTGAGGGTGGTGTCGGTGAAGCTCTTTTCGGAGACGCTTTTGAACCTGGCGGACGGCTGGCGGCTTAAGATTTAGAAACCTCTATAGCTATAATAGGCGTTCCCACTACATAGAATAGGTTTGTGGTACAATTTCCCAAGTAAGAAACCAAGGGCCTGTCATTGGAACATGTTTATCTTCCTTTCTCGGATGACTGTGATGTTTCAACAACAACGACAACAACAACAACAACAACCACCTTGGGCAGAACATCCAAAGACGAAGCTGCTCAAGTCTGGCTTGGGCAAACGGACGTACTTAAGCATGACCCTAGGCACGTGAGACGACATTGTCATGTCATGCACACATGCATACACTTGGCGCCTGAACACTGAGTGACCCCTCTTTGGAAACTGGCTGTTCCTCTCCATGCTACAAGTGATTCTGGGTTATGGGCACCACTTTCGATATGAACCACCCATTCTGAGGCAACGACGCAACCAGGTCTTCTTGGGTTGTTTTGGTGGGGCCAAAACGCAGGCTTCCTCGTCCGTGGGGCCTCAGTCAGGAAAGATAGACGGGAGCGTTTGATGAATCAACAGTCCACATTAAGTAGCTGACACCCTGACAGGCCCTTGACACCCTAGAGAACGGTCCCCTTCGCCCCCGCTCGGGTCCCCTTGTCCCCTTTCGCCGGCGGTCGCGGTCCCCTTCGCCCCGCGCCTGGCGTTGATGCCCGCCGAGCCCTCGGACTGCAGCGCGCGCAGCAGGCTGTTCAGGTCGGTGACGGTGATCTTCCCCAGGCGCTCCAGCACCGAGGTGATGTCCTGCGGGTCGCGCACCACCGGTCGCAGGGATCCTCGGTCCGAGCGGAGGACCGGGAAGCAGGTGCCGAAAAAAGACCGTGGCATCGTGCGGCAGAACAAAGAACCCTTCACCTTCGGCCCAGAGAGCCGCACCCTGGCGACGACTCCCCCTCGCACGGCGACGGAGGCGTCCGGGCGCCTTCTGCGACCAGTCGGGCTTGGCCGCCTGCAGAAAGCCGGCCATCGTCAGCCCCCCATAGGGCTGTGGACGCTTTTTGGGCGCAGCGGTGGCTGGGGCACTCGTCGCCTGGCATAAAGGATCACACGGAGGGCACAGGCAGCCCGAGCCTTCCAAAACCGAAAAGAGTTCGGTGGACGCTTGTGGTGCAAAATCCTCCGTAAAACAAGAGACGTTCGGCTAAACCCATTAATGGCGGGCCAAGAACCTCAAACTCAGGGGCAGGTCTTTGATTCAATCCAACTCCCAGGCGCAGTCAAATCTAGTCATACGCTGCAGTCAGTACGCTCAGTCTCTTCGTCAACAATTGAGACCCATGGCGTGGATCTTCTTGGAACCCCTACAACCACCTTTGCTGCCCTCAAGTCACCCACCCACCCCTCCATGGAACTGGAAAAAGACACGTCAAACGACAAGTTCTCCACTCAAACAATAAACCACCACACTTCGAAAAACCAGCCACTCACCTCGCCCACTGGCCACGGCCGCCTTGGGATTCAAGCGCACCCACTCGAGCCGATCTGGCCGGCCATTCGCCGCGAAGATCAGCATCACCTCGTAGCGGGCGCCCGCGCAGGCGTGGTCCTGGCGGCCCCCGGGCAGGTGCGGCTGAAGATGCTAAGACCATGGAAGCTAAGTAAGAACTTGGGAAGCTGTACGGCTCCTTTTGCACCGATGCGGCTCGGCCCTGGAACACTACGGATCTTTCCACCTGGGTAGCTTGAAAAGATGCTCCTTCTCCAGTCAGCCATCGGCCCCCTCAAAAGCGCATAGCTTTTGGATGAGCCGCTAAACTGCCAGCGTGACCCTTTTGGATTCCTGTTCCGCTTCTTGATGTTTTGTTTTTTCTCTCTGGTAGGTTCACCAGGCACATAGGGTCGCTCCTCCGGATGCTTTCCGATGCTCCAGCCGTAGCCCTTCTCATTGTCGTCCGGGCCTTCTAAGCGGTGGAACTCCTGCGTCGAGGCGTCTGCAGGTTCCGAGGCGTCTTCCGTCTGAGCTGAGCTTGGCGTGGTGTTGGCAACGAGGTGAGGGGCTTTGGGGCGAAGAAACCGAACCAAGCACGAGAGAAATTGCAAGTGTTTGCCTCAAACCTCCGGGATGTCGCCCATTTTGGGGGAGGAAGTCTTGAGATAAATTAATTGTGTTTGGGGGAAGTCGTGAGTGGGAAAGAGAAACAGCATGATCAAACTAAAGTCCTCTCCTCAGACAGTAGATCCATTGCGAGCTTCCTTTGAATCCGCTGGTGTTTTCTGCCCTCATTCCCTACTGAGATGAAGTTCAACCGCACTTCAGTTCCGATCCAAAATGTCTGTCGTCTGGGTCAGCAACTCCACTGACAGCGACTCATACATGTCTCGTGGTCTCTCCTGTGCCACGGCGTTCGGGCGGTCCGGATGCAAACACCGTCCCGGGCCATCGCCAGCGACAAACAGCTGAAAGCCTCAGGGTAGCTGAGGAACAGCTCAGCGAGGGATTCCGGAAGGGCTTGGGTCTCCTTTTTCTGGGATCCCCCCTCCGAACACTTGGAGCGTGGGCCATGGCGGCCATGGCCTCTGCACACCCTGGCCGCTGCTGTGGGCGCCAACATGGAGCTCTTGGGAACGCGGCGGTCGATACAATAGTGGTTCAAGGGTGGTCTTGTCCATCAGCTGCTTAAAGCTCTGGGTTAGGCATCAAGACCATCATGAACGGACCCTGGACCCCTCTGGTGACAAAGAGGTGTCCCCAGCGGACTGGTCGGATCCTTCACTTCAGGCCCAGGTTCGCCCCCCCTTGCTGCCCAGGTGCTCTCTGCCGCGCTACTGTTCAGCTGGATTTGAAACTTGTGGCAGCGTCGCTGGACCTCCATGATCATCGGCTGCGGCCGCCAGAAGTTCCTCGGCTGCGGCCGACAACTCCTTTGGTTCTGCATCTCGTGATCCCAAACTCTTTGAGAGATCTCCACCACCGCCTCGAAATTTCCCCATCGTTCCCAAGTGGTTTTGGTGTGGCAGCTGATGTCTTCAGGCCAATGGCTAGTGTAATGTTATTTTATGGTTTGCCTGGTGCAGGACGTCTGTCTTCCATCGACCCTGAAACCATTCAAAAACCCTCAAGAAAAGCCTCACATCGGTCAAGGAGCCAACTTCCACAAATCTCAATGGACGCCATGTCAGCCCTCAGATGCTCCGCCGGCCGCATGAAGCTCCGCGG